ACTTAAAATCTGAGAGGGAACACCTGCAGAACAGATGGATGCTAGGTACAGAGATATTCCAGGCAATTATAAAGATTCTAGAGGAAAAACGTAAAAGCAGCTATGTACCAAGATTCTAAAATTCAAGTAGCTGACATGCTTTTACTCCATATGCTGACGGCTGATGATACCCGGCAAGTAATGGCAGCGGTAGTGTGAGGTGTCACTCGGCACAGAATGATGTGGGAAAACCAGAAATATTTTAAGTATCGTGTTGAATCCCAGGTTTTTGGTAACAGAATGCTGTATTTTATTTGCTTCAGCCAAAAGGTATTGACATTTTAAATTCCTCATGAGGCAAAGAAATATTTTTTTTTTTGCTAAATAGTTAAATAAGCTACATAAAAATAGAACCTAAACTTCATTTGGAGCAGTGTTTGAGTCCAAAGGCACCACAGCAATTGTTTGGAATACACTGTATTTCACACAAGTATTGACAGAACGTGTGTATTAAATCGTTAAGGGCAGGTTCCCTTCTTGTTTGCATAGATGAATAATTCTGCATTTCTAACAGGGGTTAGTTGTTGGGGAATTTTTTACACGTCGGAGCTTTACGTGTGCCAGGTTCCCAAGGTGCCTAGGTGTGGGAAGGTGTAAAACACTTAGATTTTCTGACGTGCAAGTTGCAGGTATGAGGATTCGTTCTATTTTACAATCCATATTATTCCGTATGTCCTAAACGGTCTTTAAATAATAACTGGAGTGGACACAAAGGATCGTTGCACCTGGGTGGGCTCGATGAGATACATTCATCTGCGGAAGCTGTTAGGGATACAAACTTAAAATGTGTTTCCCTTGGAAAAAAACGTTCTGCGAGTGCCAGGAGGCGACAGCCAGCACCCCTTCCCTCGGGTACTGGCTTTAGCCAGCTCTCAGCCTGCCGGGCGCTGCAACAGCTGGCTTCGGCTGCCGTTCTTGCGCAGCGTACGCTCACGCGTCGTCTGCGGTCGCTGGTTATTTCATTGCTCCCGACGCCTACCTGCTGCTTGCCGAAGGGGGTGGCCAGGAGCCCACCCGTACGGCCTGCCCTGCAACGCCCCGGCTTGTTCCGGGGGAGCTATTTGGGGAAGGGGGTGGATTTTCATGGGTGATGGAAGGAGGTGGAGGAGGTGTGTTTGCTCACAGCCCCTGACGGGAGTCGAAGTTCTTCACCGGCACTGATTCTGCCGAGATGCGTTGGTTTGCGAAGGGGATATCTGCTCACGCTGCAGAATTAAAATGCTGTGTGAGGTGTGGCTTACCCCCCCGTGCTCAGAGCCCCCTCGCAGCAAGGTTGAGCTGAGAGCCCCCCCGTTTTTAGCCTGGGGGTCAGCTGTGTGCCGTTCTGCTCTAACGCACCGTGGCCTGAGCGCCCAGGAGCAGGGCTCGGGGGGAAGGCAGGCAGCTGACACGGCCTTCAGCATCGGTGCCTACCCGTGTTCTCCATACCGCGGATGCTGCGGCACATGGGAATGCCCAAGGCCCAAAACGCCCCACAGTTCATACCGCTGTCACCCCACAACTGGCATCTCCAGGAGCGGGGTGTGCTGGAGGCTTCGCAGACATTTGCTAACGTCTTTCCAGGAGCTCGCCGGTCCTCATCCTCAGTCAGGATTCAATAAGTTGCCACCCCACGCGCCCCCAACACCTGGGGTGTGCGACTGAGGTACCAGACACTAGTTATTCCTGGGTTTTTGGCTTGTTTTCTGGTTAGATGAAACGCACAGGCATTACTGGGGACAAAACCCATCGTGTTGTGTTGCCCACAGCTGGAGGCTTAGCGCTGCACCGCCGGTACAGCTGTAAACTGTTATTCTAAACGTCATTTTACCGAATAACTGAAATAGATATGTCCTTAGCCATAGAGTACTGAAAGGTAGAATGCATATCGTGAGTGACTCGGCAGGAATAAATATAAGCAAGACAAATTGTAGAGCTTGGTCCGAAAAACCCCAGCAGTGCTCAGCACTTGATCCTTAATGTGCTTTGGTCAATATCTCTCTGTATCAATGGAAGCTCATTAAAAGAAGATATCGCAGACTAACTGAGCCATGCTGTATTAGTTCTTGCCAAAGCTTGACATTTTTAATACATTAATAATATGTCTGTAATGTAATGGAAAACTATTAATCAGAACTGGTTATATGCCAGAAATTTAAGCTATAATTGGCTGCTTCTTGTCAGGAATGTCTGTTGTACACTGCTACAGCTGCCTAATGCTCGGATGTCTTGCACTCCTCTGCACTTTTTCCTTGTCAGTGCACTAAATTCGATCGATGTTATAGTCTATAATTCTGTGTAACGACCATCATTATGACTCTGGCTTACTTTAATGAGAATTCGTTATATGAGAAGGATTTTAGCATGTGTTAAGGCAGTGGCTTGCTCCATGTTACTTCAGTCCTATCCAGTCCTGTTTATTAGTGGATCTGAGTCTCAGCAGTTATAAAAGGTTATGGATAACTGAAGAGCTAGTGAGGAAAATATTAAAGAAAACAAATCTAGTGTTGCCTCAATATACAGTCTTGTAGTCTAAGGATAATTAAACTGAGTAACAACTTATTTTTACTCAGAAACATGATATTCACCAACTGTTTATTCCAGCTGTGATCAAGCCTTCTCCATTACAGTGTGTTTGGATTTGTCACAAACTTAAAATTATTTGGCTCTTTTTTTTAGCAAAGCAGTTGTTTCCCTTTTGTGTAATGGAGTTTTAGGGTTGGTTTTTTTTTCCCCCTGAAAAATAGTAAAGTGCATTGGAAAGGATTAGAGGGAAAGAATATGAGGTGGCTTTAGAATGACAAAGTGTTCTCTGAATTACTGAATTCCATGATAGCAAGTAAACATTCCCACTGAAGACAAAGAAGAATGTAAGGTGGCTGAAAAAGCAGTTGTACTACACAGTGTGCTTCTTAAAAAAATTTAATTTTAATTTGGTCTTAGATATTTCTGCTTTTGTGTCAAATTCAGACTTGAAGCTTAAATATATTTGAACTAATTGAGAATTGTTATTGCATGAAAATTCAGATATTCTCTGCATATTCTGATAAAATATATGAGAGTTGTATGGTAACACTTGATAAAATGAATATAATGGAAAATTGCATTTACGTCCATACGGCAATTATTGTAAATTACTTTGCTATGGAAACACAATTCAACCATCTGTTGGCATTTCATGGTGTCTGTAGTTTAGCTCAGTTTCAGATGAAGCATTTTTTTAAACACAGGGAGGCCGTTTGCAAATAGCTTTGCAGAAAAGTTTTGGAAATGCCTATTACCCCAGTGACACGCTGAGGAGCTCCCCAGGTCCCGTACCACATCCCCTGGTTTTGAGGTGTAGGAGGGTTCACAACACTGGGAATGACTGAAAGCTGGAAACAAGCACAGCGGGCTGCAGAAAGCGGTGAACTAACGGGTATTTCTTAACCTCTGTCTGCTGGGTTTGCTGTATTTTAGCATCCAGACGAAGTGTGCAGAGGTGCTGCACAGCTGGCTGAAATCCTCCTCCTGCAGAGCCCAGCACCCAGGCTCCCTGTCCTTGGGGAGCACAGGCTGAGCTGCGGGAGTTGGAGTTCCTAGCCCTGGTTTTCCTCGTCCGTGCTTAGGGAACTTACTCCCTCTCTGCAGTTGCCCTCATACATAATTTGCATTTTTACTCACATTTTTTAGCAAATCTATATTTTAAGTAATTGTAATAACATCCTAGAATTTCATAAGTGTAATAATACGATTGAGGTGATGCAAACTGAGGGAATTTCTGGTTGTTTTCTGAAGAGGGGAAGGATATATATTGGCTATGAAACAGATGCTGAGTGCGCAGGTACCCCCACCCCCAAACTTAGGAAAATAACTCTGCCATAAGAGAGGGGAGAGCATCCTCATAATAAACTGCAAATGAAGTATTATCAGTAGTTTATCATCAGTGTGATCAGTAAATCATAGTTCAAAGAAAAGGTAAAAAAAAAAAAGAGCAAAACTCTTCCAGTGCTAATGAGAAATATCAATGAAATGGAAGGGTGCTTGCAATATCTTTGTTACTGTTCCACAAAAAAACATCTCTAAGGAAAGCGTAAGGCCTCTGGAGCAAACCAAGGTCCTCCTGCCAAGGGACTGTCAGCCCCTGGTAGCCCCCATACCCATCTCTGTGTCACTTTTATTGAAGAGCCTTCCTGCTGCTCTCTGCTCCGCAGTCCGCCTGCACGATCTGGGCAACGGTTGAGTTCAGTAGTTGCTCTCCAGTTTTGCTAGGGTGAAAATACAGTTTTGGAAGCAGAAACCTGTAACTCACCTGGAAGGTTATAAATCTGTTAGAGAAGAGTTAAATCCTTCATGTCAAAATACTTCCCACTGTGAATGATTTTGGTAGCTTGTTCATTCTAGCACAGCACCCATGGTCTAGGTTGGCCATATGATACCAATTTGCTTTATATTGCATCAAACCTCCAAAATGTCAACATATATACTTTGGAATGCACTGATTCTTGGACAATAACTTTAACTCTTATTGTTTCTAAAAGGGTGCTGGTGCCAGAAGAAAAGAGTGATGGATGGGAAACAGACACCAGCCTGTAGACACTCATCCTTTAGCTTCGGATACTGATTCATCAGTGCGTCTGGGCATCCCCTGCGAGTCCTGAACACGGAGGATCACTCAGGGTTATCGACAGGGTAGATGAAAACCTGCAACTTCACAAATTATTATCTGCTATCGGACATCTTTCACAAGAAGCCCTGACAGATAAGTTATAAGACAAAGGACAAATACTGCGTTGCTGTGAAAGGCTGTCATCGGGGTCTGGGTGGCTTCTACCAAAGTCCTCAACTTAGTGAAACAAACACCCTATCCTAATGCTTCACATTTGAGTTGGAACTTGTTTTATAAAATATATACATGTATATGTACATATATGTATAATCTATAGACTGCACATACGCCAGTCCTGAGCATCCTTCCGAAGGTGACACACAAGGATTCAGAAATGTATTTGTCAAGATTCCTGTCACTCCATGCCCTCTGGGTTACCGTATCCTCTGTGATGCAGCACTACCCTTCTGTGTGGGGACACTATGACGTGTGTAAGACCCAGATTTACACAGAAGAAGGAAAAGTATGGGATTACATGGCCTGCCAGCCGGAAGCCAGAGACATGATCAAATATGTGAAAGTGGCTCTGGATCCCCCAGACATAACGTGTGGAGATCCGCCCGAGACTTTCTGTGCAATGGTAAGGCAAGCTTTTCATTTTGCAAAAGAGTGGGTGTATGTTTGTGGTAGATGGATAGATGGCTTCAGAATGGAAGTTCTGTGGCGCACACCTAATCGTCCAAGAAAATCTGCATCATATTCCGAACACGGAAGGTTCTGCTGAACAAAATACTGAGCAGTGCATTAAGCTGGGCAATGAGATGTTCTGCTTCTGGGGACCTAAACAGACCTTGTTTGAATTCGGTGTCTCTCTAGGTAAACTTGTAATGACGTAAAAGAAAGCAGCATAAAACTCCTAGTGTGCTAACCTGTAAGTGGGGTGCATTTGTCTGGATCTTGAAAGACTTGAGTGAACTGGTTCCCGTGTGATCGCCTGAAAGCATCAGAGCATGATGTAATTCAGTATCGTTTCCAGCCAGGAGGTGGTTGTTAGAAAATCAGCAG